CAGAGACCCACCCACACCAATACACAAATTAAATCGGACTCAAACACGGATCAATGCTGCGTTGAGCCGGTCGGATGGGCGACGACGCGCGCTCACTCTTGTTTTGGATGGAACCTAATAGGACCTACGTGGGGTAAGTTTTAAGAATTCCAGTCAAATTCTCATTTATTTAAAGTTTTAAGTGGCAACTTTGAAATTAAATATTATATGCAATTTTAAATGATTTGCCGACAAATAAATAGTCTCATTGTGGAGTAAAACGTGAATATGTTTAGTCCATTTAATTTGGGAGTATGAAACCTGCTAAAATTAAAGCTCAATGTTGACCAATTTCACTAATTTATTAACCATCACAACAAAAACAATCGACGAGACAAAAAATGCATGCACACTTCATTCTTCACTTTGTCTTGAGCTTAATAATCCCTAAAAATCACACGAAAGACTTGGTGCTTGTTACGAGAAACATTTATCTAATTGATTATTTACTCTTTTCGTAATCTTTCATATCTAATATTAATTATTTTGACTTAATATTTATTTAAACCACACACGACTTTCTTCTTTGCTAGTAGACTCGTCGCATCCTGTCTCAAATTTAAAAAACTCAACTCACTGTACACGTCTACTGCATGTGCATTGTCAAGTAACTTGTGCAAATTGCAATCTCATCAAATTGCTAGCATTTCTAACAAAAGGTAAATGCAACACATTCTATTGTTAGTATACTCCTCTAGTCAAGAAAATCAAATTTTCTTGCCCAAAACAATAAATTTGTTCGTTCTTTTTCCATCTCAAGTAAACTTCTCATACAAATTGATTGATAATGACATTAAGCGATGCTTGGTGCAGATTAAAAATATTTGTTAATAGATTTTGAAATTTGATAAAACATGTGGTTGAAAAATTGTAAATCACATGAAATGTGTATTTAAAATTAATTGTTAAATTTGACTTAAAATTAAATATTTTAATGTTATCTCTTTGCCATAATGGAATACTTCTTTATCAAATATGGTCATTTAAAAAAATAAAAGATCCACTAAAAAGGTCTATATAATTCAAATCT